AAATCATTTACACAAGGCAATTCTAGCAAAAAATAGGTGCTTAAACAAATTTAATGTAAACATTTTAAGTTGTTTCATTAGGCATCTACAGTAGTTTTAATTTATTTTATTGCTACATGTAGCAATTCCAAAAACAGCACATTTCAGCAGTATTGCCAGTATCAGCCATTTAACAGAAGACAGTTAAATACTTCAAAACAAAATCCTTTAAAATGAAATTAAAATGTAATATTAAACATTCTGTCTCTGAAACTAGCCTAATTTCTGAGAATAGGACTATTGGAATATATTTTCAAGCTTTGCATAGATGTTTCAAATTAAACAGAGATGATATCATCAAACGGTACCAGAAAAGCACCAGAAATTATACCACAATGATATGATATATTGGAAGAAAATGTGCCAAGTGTACCTTTTTTAATGGTATGGGACCAAGTCCCCAAGATAAAAGTTGTCTTGAGCAGCACCAGAAGTTGTAGTGCAGGTGATAATTGTTTTTCTTGACATGACACTGCTATGGAGTGGGTGTCAGGGGAAACTTAGTCAAGGCAAGCATGTAAAATCCTTCTGTTTTGGGGCAGACAGTTAAGATGCACGGGTTTTTTGTGTTTTTTTTTTGTTTGTTTGTTTGTTTGTTTGTTTTTAATAGCTTGGAAATAAGCTGTGGTCAGACAAATCCAACCCAGTGTTTGAAAAAGAGTAACTATTTCTTAAAGTGGGAAAAGTGTCCATAACTGTTCAAAATGAAAGATGGTAAACCTGAGTGCAAGCTATAAAAATTTATCCGGCAAAACAATTAACAAAAAAAAGCTATCTCTTAAATTGCGAATGCATAATCAATTATAGAATATGCTGGGAGATTATTTTATGTATGAATACTTGGATTTCATTTCAAGTAGCCCAGGGATGCTGAGCAGCTTTTGATTATCAGTTAGAACTTTTTGGTAGCTGGGATATATCTAATGCAGTCTTCTTGAGAGCAACATGGTTTGCATAACTAACTTGCTCCTTTGGGTATTTCTTGATAGTGAAAACAGATTTTTTCCATGTTCACTTATCTTTAAGCATGTGCTCAGAATTTTGCTTTTAAATCAAGTGGTGCACTAAAAAAAGTCAGTGGGAGGAAAAAGCCTCTTGCTGGTCTGCAGTGTCATCTGAAAGGCTGACAAAGTCATTAGGTTCAATTAGGCTCAAATATTTATTAAGCACTGATGAATTGAGTGTATTCAGTGATGGAGAAATTGTTTGTGGGTAATGTGCTGTAATAGAAACATGAGGGCATGCATGGTTGAATAAACCTGCACAGAGATTTTTTTCTTGTGGAATGTTTTTTTTCTAAATAGAAATTTTATTTACTTACTATGTCATTTTTCCACTGTCCTTACACATAGGAATCAAAATTTATTTTAAAGACTACCCTTTTAAAGCGATAATTTAAATTGCCTGGGAATACTATGTCTCCCAAAATGTTCTAAATTCTCACTTGTCACATTTAATGAATACAAGTATTAGAAAGTTGATAAGTGAGATGATGTGTTTTACATGTGAAGATTTTGTGCACTGCATCTTTGGTGTTCTGGTGCAATAGTCCATGATAACAAACCAAACAAGAATGATACAATCAAGGTGAATGAAAAGACTTATCAGTCAGTGGTGGTCTGGAGTTGCTCACCACTGTGTAACATTCTCTAGGTATATGCTGAGGCTTCATTTCAGGATTTAGAGAGAGGAACTGCAATCATATTTTTGTGTATGTGGTGGGGGAGGGGGAGGTCAATTCCAGAATAGTGTCTCCAGATTCAAAACAGGGCACTGTGACTTCTTTTTAATGACAAACGTCGAAATTAGGGCCGGCATTTGCTAAAACCCATGAAGCAGTGCTCAAAGGAAATTAATTTCTGTGATTGTCTCCAAACCTCAAAGAAATTATCCTTGCAAACTAATGAAGATAAAATTAAGTATTGAAGTCTGTGGCATCCCTTCAAAGCTTTAAATGTAAATGGAATTGTTGGAAATGAATCAACTATTTGCCAGTGAGATTTAAAATGGTGCATGAGATACCACTGAAGTTGTAGAAAGCGGTTGTTTTGTCCCTCTGAAACTGAGGAGCGAAAGAAGGAGAGCAAATAGTGTTTGTGAGTGGCCTGATAGCTGTGTGTGCAGTATGTTAATGACATCTGAGTTTCAATCTCTTAGTCATTAAGAATGTAACAGAGTAATTTCATCCCTGCTAGTAAAGTGATGAGTTCGAAAATTAGAGCATCCATGCGTGAGATCCTGAAGTGCTAGCTGTTAAAATCTCTGAGTAACTTCTATGTTTGTCTTTGTCAATGGCCCACATTGTTCAGCATGTAACAATTGAGAAGAGATTGCAGGTTTTCAGGTTTAATAAGGGTGCTGTAATACAAGCACTATCTTTGGATGGAGCAAATGCATGCAGAACCTTAGGTGTTCTCTCCCCAGTTAAATGCTTTGTGTGGTCTGTTTATGACAGCAGGCTAGCTGTCTGCATTCGTATCTCCCAAATGTGTGTAATCTGGTAACTATTTTAGCACAAGGACAGGCATAGTATTAGCATGAGGCAATTGTAAGCAAGCCAGACTAAAAGTGCTTGGCAGTGTTGTCACTGAGGGCTCTTCATGGTAAAAAAGGTTGGTTCCAGACTCTCAGGAGACTCAATGCAGGTTTTTGTGTGGTGCTTTTCATCCCGTTGAGCATAGTTCCTGAGAGCTTTCTAATTAACTGTATTAACTCTCCTAGTGCTCTAAGCTAGTGACATGAGGACCTCAGAATGATACCAGATCACATAAGGTAATTGCTGAAGGAAAATAAGGGAGTGGGGAATTTTGTGGCCCTTGAAAACAAAGAGTTTTCAAAAAGTATTTCATTACAGAATGGAAATGTTTTTTATTGTTTTGTACAAACATTATTCTATTTGACCAACTTTACCTGAGATATAGCAAGAATATGTTTTGTAACTTAACATTGATGATGCTCAGAATAAACTTTTGATGTTTTTATAGGAGGTAAATTCAGAAAATGCAGAAACTGCATGACTGTTAGTAGTGGGCATAGAGATTTGTGCGTGGAAACTTTTATATCTGGAACAGAATTGTACAAATCAACAGTTTCTGAAAAGATTCTGACTCTACCTAGTTTAGGCAAGTATTTCATGATTCCTGATGTCATACATAGGATTGAATTACATAACCACTTGGAGGAAAAGTAATTTATTGTCAGTTTGTCAATGTTTTAAGTTCAGTGAAACTGGTCAGTGCAAAACCTATTGTCTTTTACAAGTAATGGCAGCAATTATATTTACAAGGTAGACATTGAACTTTGAAGTTTTTTGTCCACCATCTCCAGTTTTGGAAAACCTATTAGGAGACTCCTCAAATCTTAGAATTTCTTCTTGCATTAGAAGCTACCTCACTGTTTGGAGTTGCTGATTGCCTAGAGCTAAATACAACCAGATTCCCTTCTCTTTCATATTTCCCTTCTCTTTCATATTTACCAAAGTGAATCTCATATTCACTCATATTCATATTCAGATTTTCTCTGTTTCAAGTATGTTTGTTATCTATTTCCCAATTCCTTCTTATGAACAGCTGATGATGAGACACTCATCTCTTTCAGCATTTCTCAAAAGAGTTCATTTCTAATGTACCTCTCAACTGAAAGGCATCCTTTCTGTAGCAAATGTCAGTTAGTTGTGATCCACAAGTTGGTCAGTGTTCTGAGTTACAGATCTTATATAGTTACTTTAAGGCTGATCTGCAGGATATTATGTTGCATTGATCTTTAAAGAGAATTTAAGTGAAGAAAGAACAACAATTTTTATTAAAGAGAAGAATAAAAACCTACTTTTTAAGTATAAAATACAAAATAAATAGCATTGAAGTTGCTGATATACTGAAAGTGTGCTTCAGTAGACAGTAATAATCTTTCATTTAAAAGAGGAACTGCAGAGTCTTTTTTTATTTTTTTTTTTTATTATTATTATTTTTTTTAAGGGACCATATTAGTGTTCCTAAAATCACACCCTTAGGACAAGAAAATGTAAGAACTAAGATCTCTGTAAAGCTGAAACCACACTTCTCATTTTTTATTATTATTTTTTTCCATCTAGAATGTTATTTCCTTTAGAAATATGGGCTTAATATCATCAGTGCCCAACAGCCGCTGTTTAAAAACTTCTCACTGAGGACAGCAGCTAAACTAGTAGCACTCCATAACTAAATATGAATAAGCTTGTCTGATGACCATCTGTGAACAGTAGCTGGAAGGCAAAATTCATGACAGCTGGACTAATGAATGTAAAGACATGCTAAGATCTGTAAAGACACACTTGAGGTCGCGTTGGGTAGTAGCTTGCACAGAGGCATACAGAATATTTATCAAGATACAGGATGTGTTTTCATACAACCATTTCATATATATTATAGTAATTGCACACATCACTTCTAATATGCTGGCCAATTTGCTTATACAAATACACCATTTACATCTGATTTTTCTTTGGGTATTTGCAAATATCATTGCTAATTTTCATTGGAAAAACAGTAAGTGCATGTTGTTGTATGCACTTGGGTGTACTCTTTTATGGACTGGTCAAGGCTGTCCCAAATTACTCAGCTGTTATAACCAGAGGAAGTTTAGGTTGGATATCAGGAAAAACATCTTTACAGAAAGGGTTGTTTAGCACTGGAATAGACTCCCCAGGGTGGTGGTTGAGTCACCGTCCATGAATGTGTTTAAAAACTGTTTGGATATGGTGCTCAGGGACAGGATTTAGTGGACGGTTGTTAGAGTTAGAGTAGTTTGGTTAGGTTGTGGTTGGACTCGATGATCTTTAAGGTCTTTTTTGACCTAGCAATTCTATGATTCTATGAACCTGGCAAGGATATATTCTGGTTATGAATTAAACTACTGGAAAAGGTTTTTTGAACCATAAAGTTCTAACTTTTTTTTCTTTTTCTTTTTTTTTTTTTTTTTTTCAGTTCTTGTGTATTCCAGTAGGAGCCTATCAGAGGACTGCATTGATTTGAAGCAAATTCTTCATTAACAAGGTGTCAGTGATATTCTGTCCTATTTTATGTGACTGATGAGCACTTCAGGGATATAGCTGTGGCTTGGCATAAAAATATACGACCTTGACTTGTTCTGAGGCACGCAGTTAACTGGTCAATAGGAAATCATTACGCAATGTAATCCTGTACAGTCACAGGGACATTATGTTCCCAAACAGAAAGAAGTGAAAGCTGAAAAATAAAATGATTTTTCACTATTGGAATGTTCAAAGAAACTCTGTGTTTCCATTCCATTCTGAATGCCCTTTGTTGACAAGTTGTACATAAATTTATATGATCAGCCAATCTTTCAAGGTGGTCAATGGAGCAGATGCAATGATGCATCAGGTATTTTAGTAATGCGATTCTGGCAAGTTCAGTTGAAAGGCTTTTTACCTTTGTGGTGTAACTTTTTGATCATCTCAAAGGAGTTTGCTTCAATTTTGCAAGAAGAGTAACTTGTTTTAAGAATTGGAGCCCTTAACAGCTGTTTTTTGCATAACGTAAATAATGTGAATTTTGGAGTACTGGATTAAGATTTCATTTCTGTTTTCTGTGTGAAATGGCTGGCACTGAAATATTTTAAAACTTCTTGAAAAAAGTATATTAAAAACTCAATTTTGAGATACAAATCATACATACAGTTTTGAAATAGAGTACATTGAATTTGTTCAGTATGCCTCTCAGAATGACAGAATTATATGTCATGGTAGACGTAAGTGATCTGAAATAAATGGAGTTCCTGACACCATGTCATCTTTTGTAGCTGAATTATATTTAAATTTGCTGCACTCAAAAGTTATGGCAAATAGAAATATACAAGTATGGACAATGTACTTTTTTAAAAAATTCCCTCCACTTATATGCCTCTCTTCAGATGGCATCAGTGATTCTGATTTTTAATTTCCTTTTCAAACTACTATATCAGTCAAACAAAAATAGAAATGAATCTTTTCCCATATGCTGATTGTCACCATCTTCAGAATTTTATTGTGTATTTTGACTTTAGCTGGGCTTTTAGATGACATTTTGGAATTTGTTCCATAAATGTGTTCTGTAGGCTTTTGCAGCTATTTCAAATGTTGCTTCTCACTGCCTTCTACAGAAGCATTAGGTCTGGGCTTTTTCTTAGCAGATGTTGGCTCAAGAGATTATCATGAGTTAAACCAACCCGTGAGATTTAACTGCTTCACTGAGCAGGAAAAATTGAGTGTTGTCCCTGGCCCAGAAGACACTGTGCTAACTCTTGAGCTGCAGAAGTGTTATAATCTCATAGTTTGTAATTTTATCCAGAGATTTTCCTAAAACATTTGAAAAATTTTAGTTTCTTTTCTCCAGTATTATGCTACATATCATTTTCTTCTGAATGAAAATATCAAGTGCATTCTAAGAAGCAATTCATTGCCCTGAATCACAGTCTTTCAAATGTTTGACATTGGTATGCTGTGTATAGGTTTATATTATGTTTGTATGCAAGTTTCCCTCTGTTTATATATTCTATATGCATGCAGTTGCAGGGTAGAGGCACATAGCTATAGCTATATAGTTACCTATGCTCAATATTGCATTGAGTTGTTAAACTAGTTCCATTTATACATTTTAAGGAGTCCATATTAAAAAAATGAAATGGAATCTTGTTCCTGCAAGTTCATGGATTCACCCAGTAGAATTTGTTTATATTCCCACATGTTGTGGTGTTTGTAATCTGTGCAGAGGAATGCATAATTTTTTCTGGCTTCAAAAAGTCATGCAGTGCAAGAAGTTGGGTGTGTGCAGATTGTTTATCTAAAAACACTTGTCCAAACTCTTTGCTTTGCCTTTGATTCTAGAATCTAAACAAAGAATTTGGTCAGATGTTAAACACATGCATAATTAGCCTCCCCCCC